GAACAACCCTTTTACCATGATACTTCCCACGCTGTCTTATTTGGACCACAGGGGAATGCGTTGGCTAAAAATAACGAGAGCCCAAGCCCAAAGAAATCTCATTTATGTAACCGGTAAAACTCAACATCACGTTTAAAGCCGCAAATCCAAAAAAAAAAAACTTAAAACAAATTTCCTATAAAAAATGGCAAGAAAAGGTGCTTTACTAAGACGGGAATAAGAGAAAAAGAATAAGATAGAAGATAGACCAACCCTTGATTATGTTAGACTGGATAGGGAACGCATCTGCCACGTACATATCTGACGGAAATTCTATGTGAAACTCCTTCTCTGCTCGCTCCTTGGCTTCGCTCAATACCTCAGCAAGAATTGTACAACTCTAAATGTTAAATTTCATCAAAGATTGAGTTACCGGTTCAAATGTCAAGCGATATAAAATAAAAATTGGTAATGTCACAAATAGCTCACTTTCATCTGCTGGAATTTAAGCTGCGTTATCGCTTCATCAACATTTGTTCGCCATACAAGTTGACAAGCTTGCCACATACGTTTTGGGGAAAAATGTATCTGAACAAGTCAACTCACATCCTTGTTTACTTAAATTTGCAAACCCAAGCAAAAAGAGAGAAGAAGCGATATTCACAACTTACGGACTCTCTGCAGTGGAAAACTTCCCTCAGCTTAGGTAAGCCTGTTTCGGGAACGATGTAGTTTGGAGGCCATACTACCTGAACATGACTTACTATCTAGCATTAAAATAGGTAAAAATTACTAATTTTCTCCAAATAGCTAAGAACTCCACTAGCATAATTTACTCCATACACATCAATTTAAGAACAAAATATTTTATCAAAGTTTTAAAATCTTGTAACCTCAAGAGGGAAGAGTTCCGGATCCTCCGATAATGAAAAAACCAATATAGCTGTAGCTCGGATAGTTAAGCTGTCAATTTTAGCGACAAGTTATAACTAGTTTTATAAAATTGCACTCAGATATGCGAGGTTTAACAAGTTGTGAAATATCGCATTCATAAATCATCAAGAAATGACTGCTGAATAATAAGTTTTAAAAGAAAACTAATGCAATCATTAAAAAAAAACAAAGCGTAGCTCTAACCTTGTTGTAGTACTCCCATTTCTCTGGCGTCATGCCGTAACCTTTTAAGGGATCTGGGAAACCTGCATCCTTATTCGGCTTCTTCTCCAAGTCCCATTCGGGGGCATAATACACCTACAAAGACAGAAGAGCTATTGCTCATTCCATCACAAATCATCGGGACTTGACCCAACTAAGGCTAGGAGTTACTTCTTTTCAATGCGAATGAAGCGAAGCACAACACAAAGAAGTAAGATTTCACAGCTGACCTTAGCGGATAAAATCTCGTCCCTTTGAAGTTTAGGCTTCCGCAACTCTAGACGACGATTCCATGCCTGAATTGATATGATGCACTGTGGAGAGACGTTAATGCAATTCACAGGTAGATCCAGCGAGAAGACAGCTGACATGTTTAAAATTTCGGATAACTAACTTCTCTGCGGTCTGGGACAACAGATGATGTGGCTGTATCCAACGGTTTCTGCACGTTTGTATGTGCCAGTCGAGCGGAAAGACATCTTAGTCCACGAGCCAGCATGGACAAATTCCGCAAAATCTCAGAAAAACAAATCTAACCTTGAAATTGTTTGTGCTATCTGGTTGGGAGATACAAAAAAAAACTGAAAAGAAAACAACGAAAGACACGATGATGGAACACATAATTCAAAGCATCGACCTACTCACAAAGAAAAGCTTAGAGATTTCTCAAAAAAAA